TAACTTTAAAGGTGCTTTCTATTGTGCATATGATCTCTTTATAAATAGAAAATTTCTTGAAGATGCTTTTAAAATGAATAGCTTAAGAAAAGGGAAATTGAAACTTATAATTTTATCCTGATAAAATACAAATAGAGAGTCAGTTCAGTTATCCAAATGTAGAGAGTCTCACTGGCTCTCTATTTAAAAAAAATTAAAATAAAGACTATTTTGGAACCTAATTTTAAAGACTTTACCCATTAAAATAAAGAGAAATTTACTTTTAAAGATTCTTTTCGAGATGCTCTTAAAATCATTGTCCAAACCGATCTCTTTGAACTTGTAATTAAGTGATTTCAGTGTTTTAAAATACGTTTGAGCATTGATTTAAAGAAGATAAAGACTTCAAAGGTAAAAGTTTCGAATTAGGATCAATTCAAAAGTTGGAACTGATACTAAATGAAAATAAAAATAAAATTTGAGGTAAATCGACCGGTTCACTCTAGCACATTCTTGACTTGTTTTAACAATGCGGTTTTTGAAATTTTAACTAAATTGGATTTGTTCTTAGTATATTTGGTAGAACTAGTTAGTTCGATCAAATTTTGGCAAGACTAAATAAAAACCAATTATAACTTGTATGAGAAGTGGTAGAAGTAAACAAGTGAATACAATCTTTTTAAGTGTAAACGAGCAAGCAAATCTTTCGGCTAAAACACCGATCTCATGAAGAGTTTGTGTCGCTTACACGAATAAAGATTTAAGAGGAATTAACTCATATTGTCCAGTCTAATAAAAAAATATTTATGAATCCATGAGATCCCATACTATAAAAATGTAGTTTACTTTTTATATAGTATAAATCATACATATTTTAAGGAACTTAATACATACCTCATAAGATTTATTCATAAAATAAAAATAAATAAGTAAAAAAATATCACTACTAATCAATAAATACAGAAAAGTCCTAGCAAAACTATAACTGCACTCAATTGAACGCCAAAGACTCTTGAAAAAGCAAATAGAGGAACACATTGAGATGGTTCTTCTGTATCATCACTGGTATCCTTAGGATTATCAAAATTAGATGGAACCAACGTTTCCGGAGCCGACTCGTCGTCGCCGGATTCTGGGCTGATCGGGGCTGGAGAATCGTTAGACGGCGTCTTTAAACTTGGAGGTAATCCTTGGCCATAAGTCACATTAATCTTAAAATGCTGCTCTTTTTGGCATTGCCATCCATCATAATCACTTGAGAAAAAATAATTCATTCCCACTTTGACAAGAGGAACTGCAACAGAAACAGGGTGTGGTGTGGTGGATGATGGATCATCAGATGACCATTGGATTGTGTCATTGTCCAGGGCATCCTCATAATCACAGAGTTTGTAGGTTGTGAAATTGTATGTTTGGATGACTGAATGATTGTTGTCTGTGTTGAAAACTGCATCAACAAATTTACAAGAAGAGTAGTTATGTGAATGCAAGTAGGAAAAACCCGATGCTCGGGCTATGTTTTGTACGTGAGATTGGATAATACAGAACAACATTAAATAATACAAGAATAAGGAGAAGTTAAGGGGATCCCAAATTTATAATTATTTTTATTTTTTTGAAAAAGATAAGTCGCTTTAAATATGCAACTTTGAGTACAGAGAGATGCTCATTCATTGACAATAAAATGACTCGTGACAAAAACAAGATTTAAATAAACACGTGTGCCCCGTCCCAACATCTTAAGCTTTTTGAGGAGACGATTAACATGGTTCCAAACTAGACCAAAGTTTTTGTTTCTCATCTTTCCATAACCTTTATGAAAATTCTGCACGCACCGCAAGAAGTAGGCTATTAAATTAAGATTAAATAAATCTTTGACGACCTCTTTTAAGTGTTTTATTTTCAAATGAGATGATTCCATACATATCTACAACTCAATGGGACTATACACACCACATCTTTACAGGAATCATTCTTGCAGCATTTGCAAGGCACCTTATCATTTCACATGCTACTCTCTTTATCACAAAGGAACATGTAACATGGCAACTCACTAAAAAAGTATCTCAAACCACAGGTGTTCCAATTAAAGTACAGCTCTGTCAAATTCTTTGAGAGAAATATGTGGAAGTTGTATCCAAGAATAAAGATGTACATATCCTTTAGCTGTACATTACCATTCCCTTTGAGCATAGCGATATAAGAAGGTCGGGCCCACGCGAGTGTCGTCATACTCGACAATATTTACCACTCGAGACGGACCCGACCCGACCCACCTCTTCTTCTACTCGAGCATAACTCTCCCACTTCTTTTAGGACATTTGGAGGTTAGTGGATTGGAGACTTTGATCTTTTTGTGACTTTGGGTTTTTACCATTATCCACAGCCTAATTCCCAATGACTTAAAGCAATTATTAGAGTGGTTAAACCATCTCTATTTCACAATAGATCTTGATTCTGGAGTACCCATCATCTATCATTAAAAAGTCAACGACCCGATGAATTATTGTTTTGGTACAAGGGGAATTGCTGATTTAATGCAGCAAGTGAATCCAACCACCACTTTTTTATAATTTCCAAAGTTATTAGTACAGTTCTAATCACGAGCTGATCATTTTAGTAACTGATCAGCTAATAATAATATTGTTCCGCACTTTTTAATTTATTTCATGATTTGCTACCTAATCATTTTCAATCACATATTTACACAATAAAATATTTTACACGTATATCAAAAAAATTCATACTTTTTAAGTACACATTCTCATAAAAATCACTGTTCGAAACTCTTTTTTCTACCAAAATGGTTGTCAAACATGCACTTAATTTCATGACAAATTAAGCAAATCTGTACCAAAAATATCTCCAGAAAATTGGATTAATTAAGCATAGAGAAGGCATAAAACAAAAGAATTAAATTAAGTCTATGCCCTTTTTTTTTCGAGAAAATGATTTTTGGAATAGTTATTTTTGGGAAAATGTGTGGTTAAAAATTAGAAAAAAGTATTGAATTTATGTACAAAATATTTTATTACGTGTGATTGAAAATGATTTTGAGAAGAAAAAAAAGCTGTGATTTAATGGATAACAAATATGAGCTAAAATTCTAGAAACGGCAGTGAAGTTAGTTAATTTTTTTAGTAAAAATTTCCAGATCAATGAGATTAAAGGAAACCAAACCATATTGGAAAGTCTTTTCCTTCTTTAGAACCATAAATCCAAAAAAAAAAAAAAGTGATTAAAATCAAATTAAATATCCCTAAACTATAGATTCATCATCTGTATCTATCACTTTGTTTCGAAGATACATACATAGAAAGATTATCAGCAGCAGCAGTGAAAAAAAAAATAAAAAATTCTCTTACACAGAAAATGGAATTCTTGAATATACTTACTGAGGAAATCTCCCAGGTTGAAGTTCTTGGTAGAAGCCCACTTTTGGTAATCAACATTAGGCTTTTCAATATTGTCATACCATCCCAAAGAATCACCCACAGTGTAGTTCTTGTATGCATCAACAGATCCTGAGAAGGATAGAAGAAACAAGAAAGTAAAGAGAATCAAGAACACAAGGCTTTGCATATCAGTTTCGTGTAATCCCATTTTCAGTGGGACTGTTTTGTGAAACTTGTGTTTGTGTGCTTAAGAATAAGATTGCCCACTCAGAAGAAGAAGAATAAAGACAGCTACTGCGGAGGAACTAATTGGTTATATATTCAGTGCCTTTAATTTATTTGGTTTTATTTATTGCTTTTGGTAATGAGAAAAAAAAAGTGCATGTGGCTCTCACAATTCTTTTATCTATCTTGATAGCTTCATGTTATCTGTATTATTGTAAGCACAGTACTTGTTTCAGGGAAGGATGAATTTTGTATACGACCACATGTTCAGTAAACAAGTTTGAAATGTGTAATAACCTCCGGTGGTTGAGTTGGTGAAGCAGGTCAACGCGAAGATCAAATATCACGAATTCGAATTCCCTGCCAATACTTTCTCGGTCGAACCCGTCGCATCGGACTTACTTAGTGCGATTTACCTCTCTTATGTGGTTTGCGAGCTACTGCACATGAAGCGGAGTTTACCTAGTGCATACTCACAGTGGTCGGGCCTTTACCCCTTCGGGGTGGTCGTGGCTCCTTTGGCGGGTAGCGATTGCGGGTTCCTATGTCAACAAAAAAAAAGTTTGAAATGTGTAATAAATAAAATTTTATTTTATTTTTTGTTAAACAATATTAATCTCGTATAGTTTAATATATCAAATGTGTCATATTAAGTAACTTCATGCCCCTTTTCGGTTTTTGCTTATAAATAAATTTACTTAAGAAATAAACTTTTTAAGCATCGACAAACATGTAGACACAACATTGAATTGATAGACAATCCATTTGCATTTTTTCAGCTTTTCAGTAATATATACTTGGTAAGGGTGGTGCTAGGAGTACAGGACTAAACTTACAGGCACATTACAGGAATTTAAAATCTGGTGATGTGGCAGTTGAAAAAAAGGGACGTGGCAATTGAAAAAAAAAAGGGAAAATGAAATAAAGGAAAAAGAGATTGAAAAGAGGGGAGGCAAAATCTTCCTACTCCTTCTCGCCTCAACTCTCTCGTGGGAATTCAATTACCGGCGAAGGGACGGCGACGGTGATATATCCGGTTGGCTGGAGAGAAAGATAAATGAGCTCAACTTGAATGTTTACCAAGAAAAGAAGCAGGCCGAAGAATGGGAATTGCTGCAGTTGAAAGAATTTCAGCCACAGCGGATTCAACGCCGATTACACAAGTTTACATTCCCGGCGGCCA